GAAGCCACAACGGTCTTTCTGAAAAAACAGAATGATAACGTTATTTTAAAGAAAAGCAACAAATGCATTAAAATACTAAAACATATCTAAGAACAGAAAAACAATTTGAAATTCTAAACACCCAAAACAACTCAAATTCAAACGCCGCGAGAAAATACAAATTGGGGCCAACAAATTAAATATTTTTCCGATCAAGTCCAACTGTAATCCTCAGCCATGAGTGTTAACGGCTTCCCACAACAAATTCTTAGGAAGAGGGTTGGTCAAGTCGCGTGCTTCCAGGGCAGCTGTTCTGAGAGTCCTAATGGTCCATTGATTCGCCTCAAGGAATGACAAACTCCGGTACGGTAGGTTGTGTTTCTTGCAAAGATCCCTCACCAATGGAGAAACTTTCCTCAGTTGACACCGCGGCAGCCGCGGAAACAGGTGGTGCTCCAGCTGAAACTGCAGGCCGCCGAAGAACCAATCCATCCAGGAAGAACAAGAGATGTCTAATGTCCCACTCGTCTGTTTCTCGAACCAGTCGTTACCTTCTGGGGGTCCAATGTATACATCGGCTGAAAAATGATTCAGGCAGAACTGGACGTGTTGGATTGATGTAACGGCGAAGCTGGTCAGGACGAACATGATTCTCTGTTCCCAATTTGGGAGGAACGACACCAGAAGAGGGAACCATGTCCAGAAGACAGTGAGTCCGATGATGTTGAGAGCTCTGTCCGGGATTCTTCTCTTCGGATTGAAGAGCAACAAGAATGTCTGTAAGAACAGGTTTACCCTGGCAACGCACATCACCGGATAAAATGTCCAGTGCTGGTAACTGATTAAGAATCTAGCCAAAGAATCGAAATTCAATCTTCTTCCATAGAAGTAAGATGTAATGGAATTGAATAAATGCGAAGAAACTGCAAACATTGGGATGTGTTGGAGATCAGGGTCGTGGTCCAGGCTATTGCAGGCGATGTGGTGTTGATTGTGAGTCCATTTCCACCAGGCAATGCTGATTCCGGTGAGACAGTTTCCGGCCAGGAGCTGCGCGGCCTTATTGTAACCAGGACTCTTCATTACCTGATAATGACCGGAATCGTGTCCGACGTATGCACTCTGCATCCAGAGCATACCCAATACCATCGCCGATCCCAAATGCGCCCAAACACTCTGGCACTTCAAAACGCCATAAACAACAATCAGAAACATCAGGAAAACGGAAAACAGCGAACAAAACGCAACATGCCCTTTCTTTTCGAACAAACCAGATTTGGCAAATTCGGATACAAGCCGCCGGTAATCCCTCGAAACCTCCGAGACAGAAAAATCTTTCAGATAATACCCAGTAAAGAACTCATCTAGATATTGCCATGCCGTGCCGGGATGATAGGCGGTGAAGGCGTCGGTAACATCCTGACCCGCCAAACTGAGGAGCAGACCATCCCCACCCGGATGCTTCTTCACCCAATTCGAGACATCATAAACCTTCCCCTGAATAGAGATCCACAAATCTCCAGGCTTACAGTGCTGTTTCAGATCATCGGCGGTAATGTACTTCCTCTCACCCTCCATTAAAACACCCGCAACCGTACCGTCGCCGGAGAAAACCAAAAAAAAAAAAAAACTAGCAACAGAAAAACAAGGATTCACAGAGAGAAGGATCCGAAGAAACGCATTAACAAATCAAACCAAGAAATCCCTTAATCAAATCAAAACAAACCCATAAAACAGGGAATTTTGATTTGATTTGATTTGATTTGGATCTTGAATCCTTCCCTTTCTCCCTGGGTGTGTGTTTTTATCTATTCATGCCCAAAATGTTATTCTGCATTTTTGTACATAATAATCTGACGAGATTCTATAGCATGGATTGGGAGACTAGTTTCCGTTTTAACAAAGAGGCATGAGATTAATTACAGCACAAACAAGGCTGTCCTTTTTACCAGAGAAATCAACGGCTCTGTTTTGTGGACAATGGGTCCTCTGATGTAAACGGCAGTGATATGATAACTTACCCCTTCGGTTTTTTTCCGGTGGGTGACCGGCAGGTGGATTTACCCCTTTTTTTCTTATATTAATAAGTACGAATAAAAAGGTTTTTATAATCTGAATTGACATAAATTAATTTAAATTACAAAATATTAATTACTTAATAATATATTACAATTTTTAATAATATTTTTTATATATGAATAAATTATATAAAATGAGGTAATTTTTTTTAAAAAAAATTTTTATATATCTCAAAATTTAAATTTAAGATCATTAATTTAAAATATCATTTTTTTTTAGCTAACAATCTAAAAATTTAATAGTAATTTTTTTTTTGTTAAAAATATAAAATTTTTAAATTTAAATCACATGTGAGTGGGATAAGATAAAAAATAAGAAAGAATTGTTGCAATCAACAAAAAAAAATTAATTTTTTTAATC